TCCTCCTCCTGCAGCTTCATCCTCATCCTCCTCCTGCAGCCCCATCCTCTTCCTCCTGCAGCCTCTTCCTCATCCTCCTGAAGCCTCTTCCTCATCCTCCTGCAGCCTCTTCCTCATCCTCATCCTCCTGCATCCCCATCCCGCAGCCCTGCCAGCAGCCCAGCGCAGCCCCCAGCTCCCCAGGATGTCACAGCAGCCCCTGGGAGGGGGAGCAGGAGAAGGGAAAGCAGGAGAAGGGTTTGGGGTCCAAAATCCCTTCAGGGACACCAACCCGGGGCGGGCTCAGGGATTTCCCCCAGGAGAAGGTTCAGGAGCCCCAGGGAGGGACAGGGGAGCTGCTGTTCCCCCCTGTGCCCGCCCCAGGCAGCTCCTCCTGCACATCCCCGAGCCCGGGGCTCACCCTGAACCGCTCACCCTGGGGAAAGGGGGGGATCTGTCCCACCCCTGGATCCAAACCCGGCCAATTCCTGCTTCCCGAGGCAGGGCTCTGCTCTCAGGGGCACGGATCACAGCAAGAATTCGATCCAAGCTGCTGGGGGGAACCAGGGCTGAGACAGAACCAGCCCAGGATTTGCTGCCCTGGCTTTGGCAATCTCCACTGAGAACTCCCCAGGAGTTTGAGACACAAACTCTGCTCTCCTCCCCTCCTCTCTCTGCAGTCAGCTGGAAATGGAGAAGCTTTTTCCTCCCCTCTGCTTTTACAGGAGACAGCTCTGGCATTTGGCATCAGCACGAGCCCTCTGTTGTTTTGTTTTCCTTTAGGATGGGGGTTTTTAACCCCCCTGTCTGCCACACAGCCTTGGCCGCACAGAAAGCCGGGGAATTGGGGAGCTTTGTGCCCAAAGCGTGCGCAGGCAGGCGTGGGAACCCAACACCTCCCTGCCTGGAGAGGAAACACTGAAAAATGAGCGAAAATCACTTTTTTTTTTTCCCACAGGCAAACCAACCTCCTCTAGCACACACAACCCCTCTTCCCACCGGCCCTCGAGTCCAACCGACACCAAGACCGCAAACTACTGAAAGTTCCCCGAAGGAAGCGGGAACAAAGGCATGCTTGGACACGGGAAAAGCGGGATAAAACAGTTTCTGGAAACAGCCATGGCATGCTGAGAACGGTACCCACGGAATCATTCCGACTCTACGCTACTCGGATCCGTCAAGCTCCGTCCTTGCCCTCCCCACCCCAACCCTGTCCATGCTTCAATAACCCAGAAGAAATTCAGAGAAAACAGAGTTCCTGTGCTCCTGCCCAGTAGTCAAAACTTGGATAAATACATCAGGGCCTCCCAGGAGCTGCTCTTGTGGTTCTCCAGGAATACAAAAGGCAAAGCACCGTAGAGCATTACTGGCCTTGGAATTACATGACACAACATTTCCCTGATGATCTCCACAGCTGAAAACGCTTTGGGGGCCACACTGAAGTCTAAAACTAACTTGCAATAGTAAGAACATTAAACAGGAATAAAACTGTTAATCATGAATGCATGATGAGCGTGAACACCCACATAACAGCAGAGCTGAGACTATTCCAGGAAAGGAAAAAACAACATTTTATCTGAGTGGTGCCCTGGTTGGACCCAATACCCGTGAAGCCACCAGGTGGGTGAGGCTGGCAGGTGTGGTGTCTCTGCTGTCCCAAACCCCATTCCTAGCAGGAATCACCCTCTGGAAAAGGCCCCCAGGAGGAGAAGAGCCTTGTGCAGCAGCAGAGGGTTGGGAGCACGTTAATTAAGCTGCTGTTAATTGCTTGGAGCTGCTGGGTTAATCAGCATTTCTGGCCAGGACACAGGCACTGAACTGGGAAGTTCCTCCAGGTCCTGTCTGAGCGCAGTTTCCCATCCCTGGAACGCCCCAGCCTCGTCCTGTGAGGAAAGCCTGGAGCTGGGAGCTGGGAAAGCAAACGCTCCAAAGTGAGAAATGCTGCGAATAAAGTGAATAAAACCAACAAAGCGGCTGCTGCAGCACTGAGCCAGCCAAAGTCACGGCTTTCAAGGGCAAAGTTATTCCAGAAAGTTCCTGTCTGAGCAGGAATCTGGAATCACAGATAATTCACACTGAGCTCTCCTGATCTGCCAGCATCAGCTGGGCGCTGAGAACGTGGAATGTGCAAATCACTGAGCAGCACAACAGCATCTCTGGGACTCCACATCAGCAGAAGGAAATGATTTTCTCCTCTGCTCTCTTTTCCCCCCGCTCCTGCTCCGAGTTTCAGCTTTCCTCGGCGGAACCAACCCTGAGGGTTTCAATGAAATCACCAGAAAAAGGAAAGCGTTGCAGCAGAACCTCCACACCTCCACCTAAACCCGTTCCAAACCATCAGATTCAGGTGCACAGCTCTCTACAACTTCCCAAAATCAGCTGGATTTACCCCAGAGACACCAGACCTGGCTCCCACCACCCACAGCAGGAAAAGCTTATTTATTTTTCTTTTTTTTTCTTTTTTTTTTTTTTGTTAAATCTGTCTCAGCTCTGGTTCCAGAATTTAAATGCAGATATACAAAACATATATTTTAATGCTTCTTAATCAGCAAGAAACTGCAAATACATCTTTGACTACAACTAGATAATATAATTTCAGCTAAGGCTATACTGTAGCTTCTGAGTCTTCTGAACTCCTGCAGTTACTGCTTTTCCTGAAGCCTTTCCACGTGTATCCCATGAAGGTGGGGCTGATGGGCAGGAAGCTGAAACACCTGTATTTTTTAATGAAGTTCATGCCAAAAGGCAGATCATATGTCTCCATGCCATCCAGGGATTTGCTTCCTTTGCCAATCCCCTTCTTCCATTTCCGAATTCCTCGCTCTTCGGGGCTTCCTGGAAACCAAAATAAAAGGAGAATAATGGATGTGTTGATGGAGGTTTTTATATCAACACACAGGAATAAAGCAGAGCCTGAAAGAAGAAAGGAAACATCAAGGCTCAGCAGAGCTCTGGAAAGATCTTCCAGACTCCTCAAACAGGGAAAAACACATTAGCTGCTTTCTTTTGTGACTGGAGGTCAAGGGAAATCTTTCCTCTGGAATGGAAGCAGGTTTGGATCTCAAACCCAGTTGTGTCTCCTGGAGACTGCTCTGGTTTCTGTCAGCTCTTCTGGGTTTGTCAGGACGGGATCTGAAGCTGGGAAGGATTGCAGGTGATCTCGGGAGGGAGGGAGGGTGTAAGGACTGTGCTGCTGGGGAGGGAACGGACAGCCCCAGAAGCAGGGAGCTGCTGCTGCTGCTGCAGGGAGTGCAGCTTGGGACAGGGACAGGACAGGGATGGGGACAGGGACAAGGACAGGGACAGGGACAAGGACAGGGACAGGGAAAGGGACAGGGACAAGGACAGGGACAGGACAGGGACAGGACAGGGAAAGGGACAGGAACAGAACAGGGATGGGGAAAGGGACGGGGACAAGGACAGGGAAAGGGACAGGAACAGGGAAAGGGACAGGACAGGGCCAGGACAGGGACAGGAGCAGGGAAAGGGATGGGGACAGGGACAGGACAGGGAAAGGGACAGGGACCGAGTCAGGGAACGGGACAGGGACAGAGACAGGGCCAGGACAGGGACAGAACAGTGACAAGGACAGGGACAGAGACAGAACAGTGACAGGGCCAGGACAGGGACAAGGACAGGAACAAGAACAGGGACAGGGATAGGACAGGGACAGAACAATGACAGGGCCAGGACAGGACAGGGACAGAGACAGAACAGTGACAGGGACAGGACAGGGACAAGGACGGGGACAGGGA